ATTCGCTAATTCGCTTTTGATCATTATTCTACAACTCAATCAACCGTAATAGAAAAGCAAAAAAAAATTTCTCAAACTTTTTTTGAAACTTTGGCTTACAGACAAAACTGTTCACCACCGCTTTTTCCTATCCAAAAGGGCCCTAAAATTTGGAAGATCTAAAATGAATTGGATTTGGACACTTTAATTGGTGTAATTTACATTTCCGATCAACTTAACAACCTCCCCCTTTCAAGAAAAGGGGTGGGGATTGTTGAGTAGTTTTAACCAGTCAAAATTTCGACAATCTCAACAAAATTAGCATTCTCAATAGTAAATTCTAGCGCAAAGTAACAGTTTTGTTTAGAGGCGAGGAGATTGTTAAGGAGATACCAGTTTAAATAATTTTAATCAACTATTTACCATTCAATACGTTTTATTAAACCGCACTTTTAATCACTGTATCTGTTCTTATCTAGAAAGAAACTCGAATGGTCGGTAGGCCAGTGAAAATTCTTGAAGAAGTTCTGATTGATATTGATTTTTTCGAAAAGTAATATGTCACAAAACATGCAAATATCATTTTAAAAAATAAATCAATGTATGAAAACTGCTCGCTCATGCAGTGTCAAATACAAAAAAGGAAGGCTGCGTTAATACACGCAGTTTGTGAATCATTTAGCTTGCATCAGTTCATTTGAAATAATTTCTGAGCTTGTTAATTTCGCTTTGCATTTAAATAACAGTGAAAAACCTAATTCAGTAAATTGTCAATTGGTAGTTTGCACTTACAAACTCGAGATTGAAATCGATTTAAACCGATTTTTCTACAAAAAAATTTCTGCATGAGAATTGATTTACAAAAGCCATTTTAGATAATTAAATCGACTTAGAATGGATTAAATGGATTTTTACGGAAGAAAAAAACTTATTGTTATTGCCAAAAATATGATTTAACTCGATTAACACAGTTTTTTGGAACCCGTTGAAGGTCATCAAAATCGCAACAAATTTGGTTTAAAATAACTTTTTTTTTGTTTTAAAACTTGAGCTAATTTTTGCACTCTAAAGAGCCACAGAAAGCAAGATTCATTCGAGAAGATTTTTTACTGCAAACTATTGTGATGAAGGTAATCCCTTTTGAGTTTTTCAAGTCTCAAAGCTTCCGCGGTATGAAAGGTAAAATTATTCAAAAATAATTCTATAAATGTCGTTTTCTTTTTAAACGTTTTAGGCGCAATTATTTTAGGCCAATGAAAAATAATTGAAAAATTTATTTTTGAACAATTGATTTTTGGTGTAGAAAGTTTTTCAGATTAGTTATATCAGAGTTTTTTTCACGCAATGCATCAACATGAAAGTCAAAAGAAAAGGCATACCTTATGATTTTAATTCCAAATTTCTCTAATCTTGAATATCCGAAAAAATCTACAAACAATGTGTCTGGAATCTGTTTAAGATGAGAAAACGAAAAATTGGATGAAATTTGATATAATTGATTTCATTGTTATTCACAATACGTATGAAAATGAAACAAAAAAAAGCTAACAAAATGGAGTTAAGTCAATTTAGAACTGATTGAATGTGATATTTTTGCTAAATTTTTGATAAAACTACTTTGATTTTAAATCAATGCATGTCATTTTTAAAATTTTTGATACATTATCTGTATAAAATTGGTTGCAACCTAGTTCTTGTCAAAAGACACCAATTTTTTTCAACTCGGTTTTTTGAGTACCCGGGGTGATGTCCATATCAACAATTTTCAACTAATCAAAAAGTTTGATATATGGAGTCTATAAAAAAATGCTTATTACACAAACATCATAAAAAATAGGTGTGATAAGTTTTTTCTCAATCGAAATTTTTCTTTGAAAATGATTTTAGAATAGTTTAACAATGAAACAACACAAATGAGTGGGAGTTTTGGTTTCATGAGAGCAACTTGGGCATCAAAAAAATTTCGAACAAAAATATATTTATCATACAATTTCATTTATGAAAATTGTATGATATGCATTTTTTCCATTGAAAAGATACATTTTTGCGGTAAAAGTTTTTTCCTTTTTTAATTACAAACTCGCTACTTTGCTAAGAAAAACAATTTAATTGAAAAAATGAATAGAAAAATTGATCTTCTCTGTCTATAACGTAGTCCAGATTGAGTTTTTCACACAAAAAACCAAAAAATCACAAACCAGTCTTTTCTAAAATACAATTATTTTTTAGATTTTTCATGCGCTAAAATAAACCTAATTTATATTAAAAAGAATTAATTTCTCAACCACTAACCGAATTTTTTAACGTTAAATTTTTCTACCCGCATATAAAAGTTATGTTTTTAGTATAAAAATCAGAATGAAAATGTTAACATCAACATCCCTGGCTAATATCACTGAATTTAGTTTATCTCGTAGTAGCTGTCATTTACACTCTGGCTTTTCTTATGATAGAAATTTTTGTTTATTAGGCTTTTTCAAAAACAAAAAGTTTTGAAACAAGTTTTTTTTTGCAGTTTCACTTATGGAAAAAAGCTTCATTTTCATTGACTATGGAAAAAAAGATTACATGTTCATATTATATAAATTTAACTTTTGCAATCTCTACGCAAGTATTTAAAATAATAAAATATAATATAATATAATATTATATAATATAATACAATATAATATAAAGCAATATAAAATAAAATAATATAATACAAAATATAATAAAGTAATATAACAATATAATATGATATATTATAATATAATATTTCTAGAGTGTGGCGAACAATGCTTGTTATAAAGGTTCATTGTAAGGAAAAAATACTTATTTTGTTATTTTCATACAATTATTTAAAAGCCACACAGCTATTTTTTTTGAAATCTCGATTTTTCATTTTCCAGCTGTGTAAAACTTCTCTTTAAAGCTTAGCTTAGCGCTTCTTCAGCGCTAGGAGCTGCTTAAACACTTTTAAAGAAGAACTATTAAAAAATTGAAAGAAATTTTTTCGTTAAAAAATGGTTTAGCAAACGACGCACAAAAATGCAGCCCACGTTGAGATTAAACTGAAGAAAATAGTTTTCTTTTCACAAAAGCTTGTTAAAAAAATTTTATGTGCTACCTGCACAGCAATCGCTAGTTTTTTTTTTGTTCCGACTTTCGAAGAAAGTGACCGAATAATTGTGCTCGTTGCGATAATTATCGAGCGACAGATTTCTTGCTTCTAACGCGAAGGCGGAAATTTAATCCGTCTGGCTAACAAATTATCCTAAGCTCAATTGAGGTATGTTTCTTATTCTGTGTAATATTTTGCGATAGGTGAAACGTATCACTTTGTACTTTACACAGCGCGCGGCGGAATAATTTCCAACACAACTTCCGGGCGGGGTTTAATCCGTCCAAGAAATCGTTCCAAGTTTGTTGAAAGCTATTGTTCCAAGCTATTTGTCAAAAACGCTACAATAATAGGAGCAAAATCTGCCAATTTGTATTATATACGGCATCTGTGGGGATGATTTTAAAAAGATTTTTCTTTTCTTTTTTAGACAAATTCATCAGTATTTCTTGAGCGAACACTGCCCGATGGATCTTAAAAGGCAGTCGGATTATTCAGGGCTTCGCATTTATACAAGCAGTTTTAGGAGCAGTGGTGAAGTGGTTACGTCTCCGCCTCTCAATCGAAAGTTCGGATGTTCGAGGCCCACCATGATCCGTGATCGTTGGTTGAGGGTGAGGCAACATTACCCAGCCCAAAAAAATAACCAAAAAAACGGCATGTAGTTCTTAGGCAGGGGCACAACAGCGGTTCGCCGTGATGAGCTGTACAGCTCGTATGTTGGTCCTTTCCCTCGTTGTTGAACTTTAAAAGCACTCTGAATTAATTCAATATAATGAATCACTCAGACGCACCGCGATGCGATGCATAATTAAGCGGAAAAATGAGTCAAGTAAGGGTCAAGTAAACATCCTCTTCTCTTCAGTAGTGGGGGGGGGGGTAGATTGGTTATTAAATGGAGTTTTCAGCTGAGCAGATTCAATCATATTACACACAGCGCGAAGCAATTTTATTCCATATGAAATATTGGTAAGGAAGAGCTTTTGTTTGTTCTGCTTCGAAGCGGAGGTAGTGAACTTGATCCAAAGGCTGTATTGGTGAACTTGATAAGGTTTTGTGTCGGAAAATATAGAGGTTAAAAAAAAACAATGCCTTATCTGATGAAATGACCTTTCGTGGATAAGTTACTGCTAAGTTTATCAAGATTCAAGCTTCTTAATCATGGCTTTTCTCTTAACACTCCGTAAGCTTTTATTTATTACGGCACTGTTTTTACTCATGAAAAATGCTGAAAAAAATTACATGGCTCACACATGCGAAAAATAGCTGGTGATGTAATAACACGCAGCTATCTGCATCTTCACATCGGTCGAAGAATTTCACAAGCAGTTCAGAGGTGATAAAAAATAATTTAAAACCACTGCGTTGACAACTTCGTTTAAGACTCGAACACATTTATGCTGCACTTGTTGGTCCAAGTGGTTTCTTGGTGGTACAAAACTTCTTCTCTGATATCTAAGCTTCATTACGCTCAATTAACTATCAAATAAGCAAGATAGAGTATCTGCGATAATGAAAAAGCAGATAAAATTTAAAGTGGACACAGAAAAAAAATGAAACTATTTTCGTCTTTTATTATTATTTTTAATTTGCTCCAGCAGTCCCTCAGTGAAGATACATAAAGGCAAAAAGTTATTGTCCAAAATATAAGGTTCTATTGCGTTGACTACAATTCAACCAAAGTAAAATAATTTTGACTATTTAAATACAATTAGTCCGTTGCTTTTGCAAGTAGCACTCAGCTTTGCAACCACTGCTATCATTGCATTTTTTTATCTGAAAAATTACAATCTTCTGATCAACCGCTGCAACTTTCCGATCAATCGTTCATAACTAATTTCAAAATGAACTGATTATCTCGAATGAAGAAATACATTTATGCTCTAATAAAAAATACATAAAAAAATTCCAAAAATCATACCTGAACAATTTTCTTGGAAATTTTGGTGCGTGAAAACATCTCCAGTTGCATTCCAAAACTGATCGTCGCCAAAAGGTTTTCCAAACTCGACACAAAACTGTCCATTGAACTCGGAGCCAATCACAACGTTGCTGTCCTGCTGGCTATTACGTAACACGAATAAAGTCGGCGTCTCGGCAACTGACGTCAAAGTCTCGGCTTCGACCGAAGCGTCAGTAAAAAGACTCAAAGTTTGATTGGTAAATTTTAATTGCAAGACATGCCATTTACCATCGTTCAGTTTCACATTGGTTGACGTAATCGCAAAATTTTCGCCTTTGTACTTCCATTTTAGTTGCAAAAACCCGTTTTCTGTCAGAGCGATTTGGAAAAAATCTTTTGTAATTGTTATATACTCAGGTTGTTGAAAAATAACTCCAGAGAATTCGGTGTTTATGGCAAATGATATTTCTTTTGTGTTTCGAAAGTTCAGATCAATGTTTGTAATTTGAATACTCGAATTTCCAGGAATTCGCAAAATCTCGGAAGTGGAAAGGATAATTATTGCATTGATCAAAGAGAGTTTAAAGATAAATGATGACATGTTAAATCGAAACTAGTATATCACTTTTTTGCAATTGAATAGCCAGGTAATCTTTTGAAGAGTCAGCTGAAATAAATTCAAATTAATTTTTTTCCGGGGTGGGGCTCTTTTGTTGGGAAAACATGAATTGAGATATTGAATTAATCTTTTAACAATACCAAAAAAAATAGGATTTTGCGTTAATCGTTTTTTAAGTGCTTTTATATATTAAAAATGAAATAAAAACTATAACCATATAACTAGCAATTTTAGTAATAATCTTTACATTTCAATATATGTCAAATATGTTTATGACATAAAATTGAAATCAATTTTGTTTGAGCAAAATCTATCATTCAGTAGATTGGCAAACATCAAGTAATCTTCATTCTTTTGGATTCTAAATTTGATTCTGAATTAACGATGATAATGGATACTCAGTATTATTTCGACGAACAATGGTTGTCATCTCAATAACAATTACTCCAAAATCAAAGTGAAAAATTGTTTTTAAAAACGGAAGAAAACGGATTCCTTTTGTATGTGATTTGCATAGTAAAACGCCACATAAAAAAAAGGTTTTTTTTTACAGCGTATGGTAAGAATTCACATTTTATTATTAGCTTGCAGTCTAAAATGTAAAAATGTGTTTAAGGAGGAAAAATGGCATATGCGAAAGGAAAATGTGGATTTAGTTTTCTTAAAACACCAAAGCCTTTCATTCTAAAACTCAAACAGAATTCATTTCCTAAGAAGGAAAGAAAAGCCAATTTATGGCTGCGGTGACAATTTTTCATAGAAATGGGAAGAAATTAGACTAAGAGTAAACCATACCCATGACTATTCACCACCACCTTTTTAACAACAATTTGGTGGTAATAAGTATTAAAATTGGCGACAAAGTTTTTATGCAGTTTTTCAGACAACTTTTTTCACAAACTTGAAATAATAAATGGCTGAGTATTAAGCGTGAGAGCCCACAAAGCTGCATTCTCGGATAGCCGAAAAAAAAATTCTTGTTTAGCTTATTAGCAACAAAATAAAATATGACTAAAGGTCAAATTCGTACAAAAACTGAACGACTGAAGTCTCATTCTTTCATCGAAAAAAGGTTTGTCATGAAATATTCGTTAAGATGAAAAAATTTTTGCTTTGTGTAACAGCTTTGCTTTCATTGAACGAAGTACAAATTAAAGTGCGACTACTTTCTTTCGCAATATTTCTTATGGCTATCCAGGAACAATTTTTTTGGCTATCCTGTAATTAACCAAATTTTAGCCTTATTAAATAAGTGTTTCGAGAAGGGCGCGAAGAAAACGCGCCAAATAATTCAGTAGAGGATTCAAGGAAAGAGAGGCGGAGGCGGGGGCGGAGGACCCCTCAGTGATTCAAACCCCCTGGCGACCCAACTTGTACTTTTTTGTACAATTTGTACTATTTTGTACTATTTTGAGATATCAAATATATACTAATTTTGAGGGGGAGTGCTCGGCGAAAAAATGAAAATTTTTGGTCGCAATTTTTTGGCCTGTTTTTTGAAAATGTTGCCTGCGGTGCGGAAAATTTGGTCAATATAGAGTCTTTAAGTGATTTGGGAGAGCTCAGAAAATCAATTTTCAACCTAAAAAACAAAAAAGGTCAAGAAAAATTTCAATTTTTTTTTTGAAAATCCGCCCCCCTCGAGAAACTCCTAGATCCGCGCCTCATGTACATATAAATTGTTTTAGCAGAGAGTTTATTTATTCTTCAAAAAAATTTTGGTTTTTTTTGTCCTTTGGCTGGTTTTTATTTAGATGTTTACCGTTAAATTTGTGATCAGTGTCTTTTTCGGTTTAATATGATTTTGTCTTTTGCACATTAATTTTAAAGGAAGTTTTTGCAATGATGAGAGTAAACTTGAAACGTGAGCCTCAAAGCTTTCAAGTTAAACAATTTCAAAAAAAAATTAACGAAATCTTGGACAACATGTGTTGCAAAAATTGTAGAGGTTTCTTTGATGAAAATTTCGCCCCCGTGCGGTTGTTTGTTATACATTTTCTTCATTTGTTATACAATTTCGCTTCGAGGATTAAGGCAACCAAATCATTGAGTTGTTTTTGACTCACTCTAAAAACCATTTTCTGAAAGACTTCAGCAGGGTTCAGGTTGCTGTCTGATTATGTTTCAGAGATGGGTTCTGTTTTATAGAGTTAGTTTACTATAATTTATCGCTTTTCAGAAATAGTTATCCATGCGACGTCGTCCTGGCAAAAAAGCATAATCTAAATTTTTTAAAAGCAGCCTTCTTCAAATGTTTTTGATTTTTGTTTTGAAACTTTTTAAAACCCAGGATGCTCTGAGAAGAAATTTCTTTTTTCAAAACATTCCTTAAACAGTTATCCGTAGCGTGTGTTGCTTTGCTTAAGCAGCTCTGAGATGCTATGTTATACGCATTCAACTATTAGAAAATTGAAAAACTGAATTTGCACAACCGAAATTATGCTGATCATTCGGACTGGCATTTGTTCCGACTTTTGTAAGGAAAGTAACGGAATATTTGTGCTCGTTGTGGATTTTTTTTCTTCAGACAAATTTCGACTTTTCAACTAGCCATTTTTGACGGAATTTTTTAAATATCTTTCAAAAGGTATTGTTTTTTTGAGCTTAAATTCGAAAAAATTTTTGACCTTTAACCTGTTTTTTTGTAAAATTATGGGGGTTTAAAGATTACCATTTAGGCCATTTTGGGACAATTAACGCGCGATATATTTCGCGCTATTTACGCGGAGGTGGACATATAATCTGTCTTAGAAGTCGTTCCAAATGGGTTGAAGGAAGCTTATTTGCGATAACAAATTTGTTACAAGGAGCGAAATCAATTCTTTTGACCTTTATATGGTGTATGAGGGGGGTGATTTTCACAAAAAAAAATCTGAAACTTTGGATAAAAAATTCATTCCTTTTATTACATTCATTTTTCTTTTTTTTTACTGCTCCATAAACCTTAAAAGGCAGTCAGAACAATCAGGGCGTTGCCCTCATACGAGCCGTTTGGTTTTTTCTCCATATTTCAGTATTAAAGATATACTACATTGTCGGTGGCTTTTGGAGCCGTCTCGTTGGTTCGAACAAAAACTACCCTGAAAATTCTAAATTGTGGGGAATTTAAATGATAGCGTTCTCGGAAACTTGAAAACTATTTGAGGGTCATTAAGCGAAATTATGGTGCATATGGCGTAAACAGAATTAGCAAAAAAGCAGATTCAGCAACAAATCAGGTTTGTGATTGTTCATGAATACAGAAACATAAATTTCTTGAACAATGTAAAAAAACTGAATCAGGAAACAAGGATTTTAGTAGTATCATAAACCTGCTAAAAGTAGACTTTTGTCTGTTTGCAGCTTATAAAGTAGCTTCCGAAACAGAAACAAATGAAAAAAAAAATTCACACAAAAATCAATTGAACTTTGATTATCTGAACAAATCAAATTAATGAAACTAAAAAGACTTGAGCAAAAAAAAACAAGTTTTGATATTTGTTTTTAAAATTTTTTTTATTGTGCTCTGATATCATTGAAAGAAAATTTAAGCTTAATTGCAAAAGTAAAATAAAAGTGTCAAAATGACTGCATTTTCTCTATAATATCTTGTTTATCTCAAATTGGATCAAGTTTTCATAATGCAAGTTTTTTTCGCAAATCAAACTTTTGGATTTAACGTTTTTGTTTAATCATTGCTTTTATTGGACTTCAGAGAAGTCTAAAAAATGTTATGGTTCTAAAAATTGCTTTGCTACATTGTGTTTTTTTCCAACTTTCGAATAGAGGAAAGTGACGGAGTATTTCCGCTCGGGGTCGTTTTTTTCTCCAGACAATTTTTAAATTATTAACTAGCTGTTTTTGTATATTTTGTTAAGTTGTGAGGGTTTAAAGGTTGCCATTTTGACTATATTTTGACAATTAACGGGGGTGAAAAATCGTTCCAAATTCGTTGAAGGAAGCTTATTTGCCATAATAAACTTGTTATAAGGAGCAAAATCTATTGTTTTGTACTTTGTATGGCGTGTGGGGGGATGGTTTTCCTTGACAAACTAGGAGCGAAATCTATTGTTTTTTTAAATGTTGTGAGAGGTGTTCGCAAAAAAATCTCAAAATTAAAAAAAATAATAATATTTTTTTTTTGTTTTAGTTTATTACAGTAAATATTTTCATGTTTTTACTGCTCCAGAAACATTAAAAGACAGTCGGATCACTCAGGCTTTCGACCTGATATGTGCAGTTTTTTTTTGTCAGGACGAGCCTCGACCGTTGATATTTTCATCAATAAATATTTGTCTATGAACTAGAAGTTTTGCATTTGAATTTTGTTTCTATTTTTTGTTGCTACTTACTTAACGACGGAGTATTTGTTCTCGGGTGGTGTTTTTTTTTCTTCAGACAAACTTCGACTTTTTCAATAGTCATTTTGACGGATTTTTTATATCATTCAAAAATTTTTCTTGTCTTGAGCTTAAATTTGAAAAGATACTTCACCTGTGACCATTTTTCGTAAAGTTATGGGGGTTTAAACATTGCCATTTCTGCCAATTTGTGTTAATTAACGAAGAAGCTTATTTGCCATAACTGATTTGTTACTAGGAGCAATTTTTATCACTTTCTTTTTTATATGGCGTGTGGGGGATGATTTTCACAAAAAAAATCTCTATCTTTTTTAAATTCATTTTATCTTTATTAAATTTAACTTTTTTTTTCATGTTAATATTGCTCCATAGACCTTAAAAGGCAGTCAGAACATTCAGGGCTTCGCCCTGATACGATCAGTCTTGTTTTACTTTGCACTTTAACGAGCGTGTGGTTTTTTGAAAGCTTCATTTTTTTCTGAAGCAACGCGAACACTATCCTGAGCCGGATTGACATTACAGAGTTCAAACAAATAGTTATTTCTTAAGTTTTTTTTTGTATTTACACTGCAAAGTGCCAAAAGCAGCAGTGGTAAAGCAAGAGCATTGGGACCGAACTACTTTTTTTACGCAAATTGATTGTCTGATCAGCTATAAAAAACCATCTGCATACTAATGATGCAGTACAGTTTTTCTGTCGTCGTATTATTGTAACAGAACTGATTTCTCTAACCAACCAATCCAGAAAAAGCAATTATATAATAGTACTACTCTCCAATATTGTACAATGACTGCTCGTGTATCAGGGCGAAGCCCTCAATGTTTCGACTGCCCCGTAACTGGCCTCGAATGCAGTTGTTTTTTTTTGTAACTGGAAATGCTAACAATAATGCTAACATTTGATTATTTATATTTGGCTTAAATTCAATTTGAAACGATTATATTATGAGTGCGGATAATTTACGGTGCATACATAAGTTTCATATTCAAACTATCAAGCAGAGGTGTCTTTAACTTTTTAGTCTAATGCAAGCATATTCGCTTGGCAATCTGAAGATTGCCAAATCGATGCCCATATGCTGCCTTTTTTTGAAGATTCGGACTGAAAAAATAACACCCCCAGTATATTTAATATTCATTTTTTTCGAAAGCTAGCACAAAATGTACATAAACAGACAAAATTTTCCAATCAAGCAAGTCGACAATTCAAGGCCTGGGAATATCCTCAATTTTTTTGAATTAATAAAAATGCTGTCACCAAAGTGTTTCCAGAAAACAAAACTGAAAAGTATCTTTTCTAGTTAAACGTTTTGCTTTGAAGGTTAGTTTAGCCAAGTTGGACGTGTTACAAAAATATGATGGTAAAACGTTTGGAACACATTTTCAATGGCAATTTTAAGATAAATTCACGCCAATGATTCATTTTCCATCTCAGACAACGTAACTAAAAAATAACTGGTGTCTCGTTAAATAATGAGCACCATTTGCAAATCGAAAAGTGTTTGCTTGTTTGCAATTTTTTGTTGAGTCAATTTGTAATGGATAGATTAACAAATAGACACAACTGTAAACCAAAAGCTGTTTTTTGTTCGGATATTTTTGCCAAACGAGCCAGTTTTTTTGTCTTAAAGTTTGTTTCATTTTCTTAAATATAACGGCTCTTGCAATTTAGAGTGTTCTTGTTGTTTCATTCACTTGCATTTTAACTGGTCAAAGAGTCTACTACTACTTTAGTGGGCGGGGCGAAGGAGGGGGTGGGGGAGGATGGGATGTGATTGCAAAGCAGAAAAACATGAAAACTGTTAACTGTTTGACTGAAAATCATTCCAAAAATGCATGCAGTAAATAAAAAAAAAAAACAATTTTATATTTTGTCATTACATATTTACATTTTAATTTCAAAAATGGGCCATTTTTTAGAGCGGTCAGGTAATCTTTTGGAAAGCTTTTTGTCATAAAAATGGAATTTTTGTGCTTAGAGGGTTTTACAAAATATAAAATTGTTTTTTTTTTTTGATTTACTGCATGCATTTTTGGAATGATTTTCAGTCAAACAGTTAACAGTTTTCATGTTTTTCTGCTTTGCAATCACATCCCATCCTCCCCCACCCCCTCCTTTAGTGGGCGGGGCGAAGGAGGGGGTGGGGGAGGATGGGATGTGATTGCAAAGCAGAAAAACATGAAAACTGTTAACTGTTTGACTGAAAATCATTCCAAAAATGCATGCAGTAAATCAAAAAAAAAAACAATTTTATATTTTGTCATTACATATTTACATTTTAATTTCAAAAATGGGCCATTTTTTAGAGCGGTCAGGTAATCTTCTGGAAAGCTTTTTGTCATAAAAATGGAATTTTTGTGCTTAGAGGGTTTTTCTCGAACTTGACAAATTTTGATTTTTAACTAGGAATTTTAGCCTATTATTTTGATTATTTTTATCACTTGAAGGGTATTAAAAGCCTGAGCTCAAACTTAAAAAGATATTTCATTTTTTAAAATAATATTTTTCTTGTGTGATCGTTTTTTGTTAAGTTTTCGGGTTTTGAAGATTGCCAATTTGTCCAATTTGAAACAATGAACGCACGATATATTTCTGACTTTTAAGGCGCAAGCGGAGATTCAATCCCTCTAAGGTATCGTTTCAAATTGAATTGATGCACGCTATTTGGTGTTTTTAAAACCTAGCTATATGCACAATATAAGTGACAGGAGTTTCGACGGAAAATAAATAAGATGGCTCCAATAAAACGAAGTTTACACTTGTTTTTTTTTGCAAAACTAGCATTTTGAACAAAAAGCGAGCGCTAACAAAATGTATTGCTTAAGACAAAACTTCGTTAATACAATAAAAGTATAAAGTTCATTGCATATCAAAACTTTTTGAATCAACCGTGCAATCTTGCTCACATGTTTTGGATCAAAGTGACATACCAAAGATTGTCCTTCCCGAAATCTTTTTCTGCATTAAACTTTCCTTTCAAACAAGCGCTGAATATCTGACTGGATAAAACGTTTTAAGCTGAATAGCTATTTGATCCTGTTAAAGCGTAGAAATTAGTCGTAATTTGGTATCAATTGGTTTTTTTGACAAACTCGACCAACTTTTTTTTGCCCTCGAAATCACTTTATGAAAAACCGGTATTTTATCTCTCCCAATTTGATTGGTGGTGGGGGAGTTGTACGGTTGATCCAATGTTTTTTATGATTGATTTATAGGGTATTAATCCGATTATTGAAAAAAAGTTAAAATGCATACTATACAAGTGTTTCATGTCGAAAATTGATTTGCTTTTAAAACAACTCGAACTAAGGTTAATGGTATTTGGCAAACAAATTTTAGACCATTTTACATTTGTGTATAGTTTCCTATAATTGTAGTTTCAAAATCATTTTTTTTCATTTTTGAAAAGCGAGACTTTGCTCTGAAACAAGCCAACTTTCACAGAAATGTTGTTCCAATTTTCCAAGGATTTTTGCAATCCCCAAATACGAGCAAATTGATTTATTTGTACCTGATATTGCTGGAAAAAGCTGTAGAAGAACTTGAATCTTATTACAATTTTTTGTGTTGTTTATTTTAAAAAACAAGAAATGAAAATTTAAAAGACAAGCAAGGTTCGACCGTGATGCAAGCAATCTTCTTTCAAACTGTTAATTTGTTGTTTTCAATGAAAACAATTTAAAAACAATAATTTTTTAACCAATTCTTTTGGTTTTTCAGTTTCAGCAATTTTAAATACAAAATGAACAAACAGAGATCACATTGCTCCCAAATTGGATTAAAACAAACTTTTCATGAAATTGATTACTTTTTGACCGCAATTAGATGTGAAACCTGAAATTTTTTGCGTGAATTATTTTTGTTGCTATCATTTCAAAGCAAAAATATTTAAAAACATTCACAATTTTTTTTTAAAAATTTCACAATTAGCTCTGTTTACTCTTATTGACAGCTTTCTGTGTTCGTGGCATAAACTTTTGCGACAATTTTTTAAATTTGTGTATATGATTCAAATAATATGAGGTAATAAAAAAGAAAAATCCAACTAGATTAATATCAAAAAGTTTTAGGAAATGATAACTCTAAGAAACCAGTCTAATTTTGAAAAATCTGAAAATAATAATAAACTTTAAATGCTTACAAAATGATCAATTTTTGGAAAGTTTCAATTTAATCTTTGTGTTTATTGCACAAGGCAACAACGGCGCTGCATCCTGCTTCAATATTTGGAGGAAAGTTACCTTTTCGATACATTGAAGGGGATATGGAGACATTTTTTTTAGCCCACTACCACCCCACGAGGAAAAAACTCTACGTTAATTTTGACTGGTTCAGTTCTTTTTTCCGACTTAAATTGTTCGAAAAAAAGATTGATGAAGATTTTGACTCCCCAATAAACAAATTTAAAAAAATATATTTTACCTCCAATCGCTTTTTGCAAAGTTATAGGAGTTTGAAGATTGCCAATTTGGCAATGCTTTGGACTTTTGTGATGAATTTATCCATTATCCTGACAGCGTAGGTAGCGCGAATTGTTTATGTGAGGCGAATTATCCCGCACAAAAAAATGGTTTCAAATTGAATTGAGGCTATCTAATTGGTCGTATCAAATTAGTACGATTCAAATTTTCACACCTGATCTTTGATATTGTCCAAAATAAAAATTTTTCAATTTGTACTTCTGCCAAAAACTATTCGACATGGATTGAGAGGCAGTCGGGTCATTCAGTCTTATTTTCATATCCTTTTTTTCCTGGTCTTTTTTCATGACTGGCAAAATTGGACAGAATGAGTAAAAATTATTTATAAAAACAAGCGATGACTCACCAGAAACGGGTTGGCAGGCTTTTGCTTTTGTATTTATGATGATTTTGTAAATATTCTTTCTATGGTCTCACTCAATAAGGATGATTAAGCATTGTAATAATTTCAGATAGATTGCCAAAATGAATAAAATATAATTTTTTGCTTAAAGCTGATTAAATGGTAACCTGTAATTAACCATTTTTTAACATGCTGTTTGTCGGGATTTTGGAATCGAAAATATATAAAATTATATTAATTTGATTTGACCAACCGACTTTTTTCTATTTGAATTTACTTATAATTTCTTTAGATCCGGCTAGTTTCTGATTGTATTTGAAATTAATTGGCCACCATTAATATGTAAAATAACGAAAGGTATATAATTTGCGAGTGTATATATTTTGACTTGAGCCGATTTATACGCCAGAAAATTGCAGGCGCCACTTAAAGTCTATACCAAGCTGGTTAAAATTAGCCAGTACTTGCTGCTTTTTGGTGTAAAAAGTAAGAATTGTAATCTAAAGACAAATCAACTACGGCTCTTATTACCAATCTAACCATGTAAGATTTGTTCACTATTGTAGCTTGTACATATGATTTGTAGTGGCACTTAAAAAACAATTTGAAACTTGTAAATAATTATTTGTCTTTTTTGGTAATCAACTGCGTTCAAAACGAAACCATATTGTAAAAAATCACCCAAAGGCGATACAACAAACAATAATCTAATCTATATTAGTTATTTTTCGTTATGTCTGAAAAGTAATTAATTCGTATACATTGTCAAAACTTTAAAATGCTTGAGGCGATTTTCGAAAAAAAAGACGATATACACATAAACATAATCGCATGAAAAAAAGATACTGATCCATTTTTAACTGCGGTTAATATTCTGATTGTTGTTTCTGTGACCCGGATCGAGGACTTGCAGTTTTGCGACTGAAACTCCATAGGTCGACACAATAGTCGAATCACACCCAATTTCGGCCGAGAAAGTCAAAACATAGGTAGAGCACAGTCGAAACATAGATCGAATAAAGTCAAAACATAGTACGAGCACAGTCCAATCATAGGTCGAGCACAGTCGAATCATAAGTCGAGCACAGTCGAAACAAAATCATAACTGCAATTTATGCTGGATTTTTTTTGATGGTACAACTGAAAGACAGATGCAAGTAGCATAAAAATCCTGTTTAAATATGTTTTTGATGTGCACTTAGCTAGACCAGCACAATTGCTTGACATATACAGGACCACCACGAGATGGCCTAGACGTGGTCTCAAATATACTAGCTAATTTTTTGGAACAACGCCAAAATCGTCGCCACAAAATCAGAAAGGTAGAAAACAATCAAACTGAACATTCAGTCATCCTTAAAAAATCCTTTTTCTAAAACAATTATTTAAAAAATGAAAATTATGACTCACCTTTTTGATGAGTTATTGCAAAAAGTCTTCTAACCAAAAAAAAACGTACTTGAATTTATGACATGCAGCTAGAAAAATTACTTCTCTAAGGTGAATCATCACGTGTCGACGTATTAAAAGTATGGAGAGTAAAACACTAAGGAAAAGTTCAAGCGAAATGTTATTCATAAGTGCCACTTTTACTGACTGAGAGGCGTCCTTCTTAACTTACTGAAATCACACATCAGCAATAAAAAATGGTATTTTTTCATTCAAAAAAATGTTAAACAACAGAAAAACTTTATGGGGGGTTATCTCAAGGTTCTGTTTTGGGTGCCCTGGTTCTTCTATTTTATATCAATGATTTTTCCAATAAACCACAATATAATGAACAATAGGATGCATTTAAAATTTATCATCAAACTAATAGTATCCTTATCAATGATTCGAGTTTTGCGCGTCATTTTTTACTCGAGCTAGACGGCGCCCATTACCGATCGAACTTTTTTTATCAACTTCTCAGCGGTTTTCTTTGGTTGACAAGTAGAGTCTATAGAAATTGTTTAATAGTACTTGGAAAGTCTTTTTACATCGTTGAGAAGCCGTCACCTACAAAAGAGAGCGGTAAAAGGGCCCGGTCTTTACGCCAACAAATAAATCATGTTTTACTTTAAAAAAATGGTTATGAAAACGAAAACAAAAAATCAAATGGATAAGACATGGCTCCAAACAAATTGATATTGGCTCGGCTTGGCATCAAAGACAGCTAACACTTCGAGGAAGATCGCTAATCTGCTGAAGGTACAGAGGACAAAAAATCATGAGAGAAAGCCTAAAACCAGATGATAAACTGGAGCAAAACATCATGTTTTTACTTTTTGTAAATCAAATTTTTAGAGGAAGCTATAGTTTTTCAAAAACTGTATATAATAGATAATAAGCTATTTTTTATGACCCCAGTTGAATCATAAAAAATAATCAATTTGAAAATTATCAATTATAAGAACTACTACCTAGCTTAATTCCATCGAAATTAGACTTAAAATCAAAAACTTCCAAGTAATTTGTCTCGACACTTGGAAAAATTTTTGAATTTTTAAAAATTTTTTTTTGCCTGAATGATATTTCAAATTAGCTTTATGTGGAATATCTCGTTATTACAATAATTATTTGTGTTACCTGATTGTGCGTGGAAAAAAAAGAGAAAAAACTCCTAAGAACATAAATCCTCGCCATATTCGGACAGATTAACAAGTAGCTGGAACCAAACAAAGCGTCTCTGCCACCAGTGCGATAGACTTGACAAGAAATCTTTTTCAAATTCATTGGAGAAACACTGATTGCAAAATAAACACTCCATTCCCAAATTGCGCGTCTGACAGACAGTGCGAAAAAGATAAGTACCAAAAGCAGATCCGTTTTTAAATTTTAAATCAGTCTTCAATGCTGTTAAATTCTAAATCAGCCTTCTTATCTGCATTGAATAATTTCAATTCATTTTTGTTGACGAAGCAAAAAATAGCAAAATCTATGAAAAGTATATTAGTTTCGTTTTTCAAAAAATCAAAAGGCTCCATTTTATATCTCTACTTTGCATATCAAGCTTAAATACTTAAGCAATTATTACGTCTCTGAAACCCAGAAACCTGTTCGAGGCCATGATGGCAGAAGTCCAAAAAAAATAAATATGAGACGAAACGCTAATTCTGACAAACCAAAATATCAATAAAGATTGGCTAAAAACGCTTGATTTCAACATGAAAGAAACTTCTCAGATAAATGCTTTCTGAAATTTTTAGTAAATTTTTTTTTGCTTCTAAACAGTCTGTGTTTAGCTAAGCGTTTCCAATGGTTACAAGTTATCAATACGGCAAACAATTTTATGCGATCAGCCAAAAATTCAAAACATGGGAAAAGTTTGATATTATATTTTCAAAAACTCTTGATAATTTCGATGAGAAAACTTTGAGATAAAATAAACAACTTAAATAGACTAAAAAACATCATAAATAGTTGTCCAACCAATTACGATCATAAATAAATAATTTTCAACATTAGGTAACTTCAATTTGTAAAATCTCAAGTATGCTTCAAAAATACGGTGTTCGGCAAGTTTTCATTTCATAGGCCAAGTTTCTTTTTCATTGTATATCAAAAGTTTTCTAAAATTTCAAAAAACAGCGAATTTGTAGAAATTTTTGTGGTCAACTTATTGTTGTTCTGCACTAAAAAATATTTCTTATTTGATATGCAGATCTAATTCATATTTGTTTCCCATTTTGTTCCACTTTATTCAACTTTAAAAAAAAGTTTTTACTTCCACGTTATCAACTAAATTTGTATGAAACCATTCCACCATTCCGCAGGTAAATTATATAAAATTTTGTTATAACTCATGTTTTAGTTAAGTTGCTGTACTTAGCAAAGAAACGCAGAAACATTTGTCGTTTTTTAACGCAGATTTTTTTTCTGGTATTGATACTACATACATTACTAAGGTAATGAAAATCAATCAAATTTAGACATGGTTTTCGTCTAAGTTGTGCTAAAGTTTTGAAGTTTTGATTCGAAAATTAGTCGTACACTTTATATTTTGGTGTTTTCCAAAACTGTCTCCAAGCAAAAAATATCGCTCCGAACAAAAACCAAATAACAAATATTTTAGTCAGTCACTAAATAGCTATAAGTTTTTTTGAATCAGGAATTAAAGAAAAATGTATAAATAAATATATTCAAGTAGGTGGTTGTGGTACAAAAAGCTCATATTTTTTTGATCTCGCAACTGTTCATAACAGAATAGACAAAAGTAAAAATATACTTTTTTAAATAGAGAGAGCAGATTGAACTGCTGGAAAATCAATTACCAAAAATTTTGTATTGGATTTTTAGTCGTGAAATCACAGTCTGAAAAACCCTCAGCCTGAAAAACTAATTGTTCTGACCAGTTTTTCTCAGCACTGAAACTTTTTTTTTAATAAAAATAATTCTGAAAAAAGAATCACGGCCGAGAAAACTTCAATAAGATGCTTTTCTGACCCCTTTTAGGTTTCATGTAGGAATTAAGAAACATGGTGTGGCGTCATCGCTCCTTTTTACTTCGTGAAGTGCAAGGAACAATGAGTTTTTCCCTCATCTAAGCTTGCCAAATTCAGTGGTCAATTGAGTGGTCGGATCTTGTTAACTATTTCCCCGCCCTATTGCAATAGGGGGATATAGTCCACAAAGTACAAAATTCTTATACGTTTATCTGTTCATTTTTTTCTTTGTAGGGGGGGGATAGTTAACAAGATCCGAGTGGTCAACTTAAGAATTACTATTTGATTCAAAAATCATGCAAAACTTTTTTTTGTTGAAGAGGAGCCACCAATAGCTAATTTTGGGACTTTTTAAAATCAAAATGTTTCATTTTTGTTTGCAGTCTAAGCAATAGCTTTCCATAGCCGATTTGAAGGGGAGGGTTCTCAGGCTTGAATGACCAAATTCTTGAAAAATTTCAACCAATCAAAATCGAAGTCAATATTAACAGAAAACGTATTAAATCAGTTGAAAATAATAAAAAATATTACAAATTGCAGGTTACAACCGCAATACTATTCAGATAATCATCAAGATTAATGAGTTAAAAATCATAAGAATTTTTCAATCTTGAAAATTTATCTGCTTATTATCTAATCGGTCAATGTTAACTTAAATGGCCTGGATTTTTTTTCTTACTTTGAGATTTTTGCGATTTACTTTGAGATTTGAACACTAAATTCTGATTGGCTGAAAGTAAGTTAAAATTATATTCAAGCATTCGGAGGCGGAGCAAAAAGCAGAATGGTCCAAGAGCAGAATGGGTCCAAGAGCAGAAAAACCTTAAAATAATATTTACAAAAACTTTTATTGATTAATACGGGCTAATTGATAAAATAATTATAATAATCGTCAATAATACCAAGAAAATGAAAAAAATATGCATGAATTGAATAATTTTATCAGGTTTTTTAAGCTAAGTTTTAAAAAAATCTCAAATAAATTATTCAAATTATGCATAAACTATTGTTTCTTAAGTAATATTGTCATTTCCTATACTTAATTTACCCATAAGCTTATAAAAATGATAATTTTCTGTTTTTCTGCTCTTAGACCCATTCTGCTCTTAGACCATTCTGCTTAAGACTGGCCACCTGTTCAACTGCTCTCATTTGTTCTTTCAAAATTTTGTGAAAAACGATGATTTTATTTTCAATTTGCGTTTAGTAAAATAAGGTGTTACAGATTTCTCAGAACAATAAAAAAACTCAATAAAAAATCGAGGAGTAATCTGATAATAAAATATGAATTTGATCAGAAGAAATGCATGTAATTTCTAACTTTTGCAAAAATTTTGTTTTATTGAGGAAAAAATTGCTTTCTGCCCAAGAAATTGATCCACCTGGTTTCGGTTCATTGATACATCGAATTCACCATTTGTCCCGGGATTTCAGAAGAATTTTGATTTTTTCATTGCAATAGGATGCTTAGGATTTATTGAGTGCTATGCTTAAGCTGGCTTAAATGTCGCGCCTTGTTTTCTGGCGATTGGTTTTTGCCCCAATTGTCGGTTCATTTTATTTTAATTGTTATTTTAAAAGTTTTTTGCCTGTCAAAAAATAGCTGATGAAATTTTTAGATGAAAAGCGAACGCAGACCAAATTTTGCCCGAACAATTTATATAATCCGAAATTTCATAACAGAGAGAGTTTTTAGAAAAAAACCTATTTTGAACAAATCTGAGTTTTCTTGGAGGGTAGTTTAAAATCTCTGGAAAAAAGTCAGACCATCACGTCATAGTTACTTGCCCATTCGTTAAGTGGTCTCAAAATTGAGTTTCCTCCACCTCAAAGATTGGCAATTTATGAAAGTGCACAATGTCAATATACTGAGCCTATCAAGCGTGTCAAGTTTCAAACGTTCAAACCAACAAAAAAATTTCAGCTGCAATGAAGTTCCTAATAGCTAATTTTTTGAAGTTTGACTTCTAAAATCTCTCATTTTTGCGGTATTTGATCGCTTGTTCAAATCATTTTCCGTTCCGTCGAATATTTTGAATTTTAACAGTTCAGACTTCAAAAACAAATTATTTACTTAATTGTTCTACAAATCTTTTACTTTCAATTTTTGAAGTGACAGAGATTTTACTTTAACAAAATGTACAACGCAAAACATATAGCAAATCAATTAGTTTATCTTCAATTTCCCGTACAAGTGGGCAAAAGTTTGGAACTTTTATAGTTGAAATATGGTGGTCGTACTCTTTTAAAATTGATATGTTTCATAAAAGTCCCCGACAATAGGACTTTAAGAAAGATTTTCATTTCCTATCAAAAAATTTAAAAAACGAAAGCACCCGCTGGTCAATAACATCTGACATGTTTATTGGCCGGTCAGCAATTAGAACATGTAGGACAGTCGGTTAATTTGCAAGAAGAACAGCAGATTTCATCTCGCAAGTTTTCATACCAAAAATTTAAGCAATTTTTTAGTTAAAACAGAGAGCAGATTGAGGTGATCAAAGAGCAATAAGAGTCATATATTATTAAAATGTTTTAAAAAAATTGTTTTGGATTTTTAGTCTGAAACTTCAGGTCTGAAAAAATATAATTCTTAAAATTTTTTTTTGTAAGTTAGACCACTTTGTCTTGACACTGGGATAACTTTTTGACCTTTTCTGGAATCCATGTCATGCCTGATAAAAGTTTAATAATGTGCTCCTTTTGACCGCTAAAAGCTTTAATGAGTTAGTAAAAATAGCAAACAAAAAAGAGACACTGAAGCCACAGCTCTGTTCCACTTGGTCAAGCGGTCGGAACATTAAATTGTCTCTCATCAAGGCTTGGAAAAACATAAAAGGGCTCAAAATCAGATTGATCAGCCTCTCAGGCGTGTCAAACATCAAACAAGGTTGTTAATTTTTTCAAGGATTGATCAAATATCAGCCAAGCGTGGTCTGTGCTGATGTTTATTTGACCACACAAGCTGTAGATCTGACTAATAAAGATAGCAGATTGAAATTTACTCAAACATTCTTACGACACGGACTTTTGTAAACAACTGTAAACCCTTATTGTTTTCATATAACAACAACATTATCCTATCAAAATTTTTCTAGATTAAAAATTCCAGATTGAAATTTTTTTTAGATTTCATAAAAGCTCACAGGTAATTTTTTCATCCTTCTTGAACTTTTGTATACAAAATTGTTCGATGAACAAAAAATCAAAAATAATAATTTTTTTCACCCTTGATACTCTGAGTAAAAAAATGTAATTTTTTGGCTTTGTTTCTGCTAAAAACATTGCTAAAAACATTTGCTAGCACTGCTGAAGCGAAACTATTAAACAAGTTTCTCATTCAAAAACTGCGGGCGAGAAAGAATTCATCGCATATCACCCCAAACCAAAAAAAAACGTAATCAAAAAAAAACCCTGAATGAGGTTTCATGGATAATAAATAATTATAATCTAGTTCCATGGTCAAGGAAATGACATTATAATCTACTATATTTACCTTCTGGGACCACACAATTGATTATGAACCATTATAATCCAGTAGTTTCACAGATATTAAATGACTTATAATTCATTTAAATTACATTATAATGGATTATATTGGATTACAGTCTGTCTAAGTTGATTGGAAAGTTTCCGCAAAAATTTCAGCTTTTTCTACTTTCTTATAACTTACTGGATATTTAAACCTGCTCACTATTACCTAATTTTTTCAAAACGAAATTCAGCACACTTTCAACACCTTCCTTGTGAAATACGCTAATGTTCGTCCCCAGTTCCCCGCCTTTTTATTCCCCAAACACACTCTCCCCTTTACCCTTTTGCCTGCCCCTCCCCCTTAATCCTCCCCCTTAACCCTCCCCATACCTAACCGTCCCCAGACCCCTGGCTCCTCACAACTGCAATTTATCTCCCCATAGCAGTTTTCAACTTTTTAAAATAATTCTAAACTTTATAATACTGCTAAACAAGCCGAGAAAAAAAGTTTTTACAAATTTTTTTTAAAAAATTTAACAACCTTCCACGAAATTATCTACATTCCTCAACTATTACAACCCAAACAACCCAACTCTCATCAACCTCCAGCACCCCTCCCCCAGTGTTGGAGATTGGGGGGTTGGAGGCTCCGGGGGTAAGGCGAATAACTGGCTAGTAAGGCCACGACAAACATATTTGGTCTTCTCACTCAACCTCGTAAAAAAACTCGGTAGACTAATATATTGAAGCTCGTGAGGTGGGGTGGGGGTATGGGAGAAGGAAAGAGCCGTTATTTTGTTCAACATGCAAAATTCATCAAATTATGACAACAAAAAACACAGTTTTTCAAAACAGGAATTCAAATATGGGAGAAATTGGAGAAAGAGCTCGGAAAAAAGAAAAAAAAATAACAAAAAATATCAGAGTAATAATTTAATAAAAACGGAAAGAGAAAAATTTTACTGAATTTTTGATCATCACTTCATTTTAAAGTCTTCTGTAATCAATTCTGAGAAAAAATCAGCGAAAGAGTCATTTGAAAAAGAGCTACTTAGAAGAAAGGCGGACTTTATACCAATTTATAAAATGTCAAAAATCGAAACAGCTCAAGAAAAGTACCAATTGTGTGTTTTCATGTTTATTTCTAACCCATTGAGTTGTCCCATTACTAGTTAAGCGAGTTTCTAGCTAACCTTTTAAGCAAAAATTTATATAGCTCCAAAACAACGGTATATTAATGGATAAATTGTCGTTAATTTTTTTTTTCAAAACAGTTTCCTTTTTATCTTAGATTATTTTAACAAAATTCAATTTTCGTAATTATAACGTGCTATTTTGAAAAAGTCATTCATTTTTTTGAGTTGAATAAGTGAATGAAAAATCAACTCATCTATTTTGAATGAAGTTGCACGCTTTTAACTACGGAAACAAAGCTTTGTTAATGCAATTATGAACAAAAGAACAACGGTTACCCCATTTAAATGTTTTCTCTGAACACGCTGCTAAACCTTCTGGGCAATTAGCAAAAAAGCTTTTTGTGCTCGTTATAATTTTCTGAAAATCATTTCAGCTCAAAATTTTCTTATATTCTGAAATCAGTCATCGGGGCGCCTACGATTTGGCGCATTTGTGAGAGTTTATTGGTTGGAATTATTTACCAACTAAAGCATAAAATTGATTGAAACGTACTTAAATACTACATCGCCAAGCGACAGACAAGGCAAAGTTGAAGTAATTTGTCTTTATTTGAGCTTATAAAACAACACTAGGGCGAACTATGGGCAAACAGAGCAGCAAACTTTCACCCGAGGAAATCGACGATTTGGTAGACAAAACGGGCTTTACGGCCAAGGAGATCAAAGAATGGTACAAAGGGTTTCTCCGTGACTGCCCGTCGGGAAAGTTGAACAAAGAGGAGTTCCAGAATGTGTACGCAAACTTCTTTCCGAACGGAGATGCTCGGAAATTTGCCGAGCATGTTTTTCGGACTTACGACAAAAACAACGACGGTGAGTCACGATTACTCACATTGAAACAATTTTTTTTTCAATTCAACCCCCTCCGTCTTTCATATACCCAAACCCCCTAAGCAGCTTACAATTATTTTTTTATATGCAATCAATTTCAGTAAGCTAAGCATACAAAGATGTGGCTCTTTTCCAGTCCCCCCTTTCAAATTCAATTTTGAAAAGTCTTTTTAACGTTGTCACAATGCAATGCAATTTGGCGTGGTGAACAAATCGACAATTCTGAACAGATTTGTTCTTCATACTTTACGAATTTTTGAACAATTTTTGACAACAATTTTTACGTGCAAAATGCCGTGTGAACAATTTTTGAGCAGCCTAATTTTGTGATTTTACCAGGGGGTGGGAAACTGGAAAAGAGCTTTTTCTTCAACCCGGGAGGCTATGACAAACCTATTTGGTCTTCACATTTATTCTTGTTAAACCCCTTGTTACGCCAGAAAATGGATGATTACGTGAGGTGGGGGGAGGGGGGAAAAGAGCCGAGTATTTGTCAGACTGACTACTTTGGCTCTTTTCTAATTTCCCCCTTTCAAAATACCGAGTTTTATGTTTGTTTTACGTGTTATTACGGCTAAATGCTTGATTTTACGCTGTAAAGTATGAAGAACAAATCTGTTCAGAATTGTCAATTTGTTCACCACGCCAAACTGCATTGCATTGTGACAACGTTAAATAGACTTTTCAAAATTGAGTTTGAAAGATGGGAAATGGAAAAAAGCCACTACGGCACAAAATCACAAAATTAGGCTGCTCAAAAATTGTTCACACGGCATTTGGCACGTAAAAATTGTTGTCAAAATTTGTTCACCTTTTCACGCTGACACGTTTTGATGCAGTGGCTCTTTTTCTTTTTCCCCACCACCTCATACGAGCTTCAATATCTATGTGTAACGAGTGGTTTTACGAGGTTAAGTATGAAGACCAAATATGTTTGTCGTGGCTTTATTAGTCCGTATGTGAATTTTCATTAAGATCGGACAATGTGGTCAACAAAGTTACATGTAAAAATTTGCAGGTGGGGGGAAAAGGGAAAAGAGCCGATGCACTTTATAACATGAACATGAACAACAATTTTAAGTAGACTTTCACATATTGAATTTCAGAAAAATCAAAGGGGGGGACTTGAAAAGAACCAACAAAAAATGCGTATCCTTCGATTTTCATTTTAAAAAAAATGCTTGTTATACAAGTTTGTACAATTCCATAGATACAGAAAATGTTAAGCAAACTCTTAAGATGAGCATTTTTTATATATATGAAAATTGTAGGACAAGCATTTGTTCATGAAAAAAAAAAAGTTGATTTTTTAAAAATTTTATTTCTCAAGTTTTTTGGGATGTGTTTGTGACCGAACAAAAGTGGCTAAACCCATGGTTTACCCAAAACTAGGGTTTGATTGTCTGGCATTCACAATGCATTATTAACAACTGAATTTGAAGGGGGGAAACTGGAAAAAAGCCGTTTGCTTGAGTACAAAATTCGATTTGCGGTTGAAAAAAAAACAAAAAAAATTTGGGGCATTTTTTTTGTAATTGTATGAAAATTGTATGGAATTGTATAATAAATATTTTCGGTGTTTTGTAATGTAAAAATTTTGTAAACTGAGTTTTTGAAAAAAACCAAAGGGGCTGAAAAAGGGCCAAAAAGTCATCAGACGGCGATTGAAAACTAGGCAATCTGGTAAAAAAAAATGTTTACACGTTTTATTAAAACTTAGAACATCATGAAATTTAATTTAACGTTGTCATAATGCGATGGAATTTTGCATGGAAAATAAAGTAACTATTGTGAACAGATTGTTTTCTTCCTAGACTTTGTAGCATAGCTCATTGAACCATTAAAAAACGTTAAAAAACCAGGGAATTAGAGAAAAAAATTAATTATTTGAGAAATAGTTTTGGAATCGGGTGGTAGGCTTTTTTTCATTCCCACTCCCCGTTTTTCAAAAACTCAAAATTCTTTTTTGTTTTACCTTTATTTATGGCTGGTGTAGTTATGTAAAATATAGAGAACAATTTTGTTCACAATTGTTAGTTAGTTCACCATGCCAAATGATGACAATGCGGTTCTTTTTCCTTCCCTCAACCTCCAAGGTATTACGAGTAAAATTATTGTTACAGAAATTGACATGCAGACTAATTAAGCTATGATAAACATATTTGTTTTTCATAACAAATGTTTTGAGACCTTTTCTTACACCGAACAAGGGGTGCTCGTATGAGGTGGGGGAAGGAAAAATAGCCTACAATGCCAAGGTAATTTTTCTACTGAAAATCAAAGGTAAGAAAAGTGGAAGCGGGTCGATGTAACTTGCGGACAATCCGAACGTAAATTTCTTTTACTCGAAATCACATGCATTCTTTGGTGTTTAAACCCCAAATTCTCACGCTTATAAAGCGCTTATAGCTTTTTTATAACCTGTCCAATGATTGTACCAGGATATATACGAGGAAAACACAACCAAAATTGAAAAGCAAACTTACTTTAATGTGTGCCGTATTGCTCGTTTTTGAAAGTTCAGAGTCAAATTAGGCTTAAAAAATTTATACACACGCGGTTTTTGCAAGTAATAATTGTTGTAAAAATTGCTCACTTGTTTACGCCGACACGTTTTAATGCAGTTTATATAATGAAAAGTCATTTTAAACAAACATTGATGTTGAGTTTCAGAAAAAATCAAAAGGGGGAACTGGAAAAAAACCCCAAATTTTCAGACACCCAATCCCTCTCAAACATACAAAATACTAGTAACTGAGACATTTTTGTTGGAAAAAATCGTGGAGATTTTTTTTCAATTATGTTCCAGTAGCAAAGAGCCTCTTTCATCAGCTAATCGAAAAAAAATGACAAAGAAATAAAAGGCTCGGCGTTTTTCCATTTCCCCCAATCTGCAAAATTTTAAAATTTGACTATTGTGAAACTTGGCATACGGACTAATAAGGCCATAACAAACATACTTGGTCTTCATAATTAACCTTTTGAAATCACTCGTTACACCATAGAACTGATGATCCTGTGAGGTGGGGGGGGAGGTAAAAGAGCCAAAGTCTCGACTACCATAAAGATGTTAGGCTCTTTTCTACTCCACCACAATTTACATTCCAATTTTATAAATTCACGTTTGTTCCACGTGTTATAATGGCTAAATGCTTGATGTAAAGATGAATAGTTTTTTGTGTTACTCTTTTTTACTGTTTTATTGTTATTTTATGAAGTTACTATGATAGATATAAAGAACAAATCGGTTCACAGTAGTTAGTTTGTTCAGCATGCGAAGTCTCATTGTACTTTGGCACCGTCAAAATAGGTTTTTCTTTTTAAGTTTTTTTTTCAATGTTAATTCAAAATTTTTTCTGCTTTTTTCGCTGATTCTTTTATTATATAAAAAAGTGGCTCTTTTCCAGTTCCCCCCCCCTTTTGAAATACCGAGTTTTATGCTTGTTTTACGTGTTATTATGGCTAAATGCGTGATGTTACGATGTAAAGTATGAAGAACAAATCTGTTCACAGTTGTCAGTTTGTTCACCATGCCAAATTTCATTGCATTATGACAATGTTAAATAAGCTTTTCAAAATTGAATTTGAAAGGGGGGGAAACTGGAAAAGAGCCAAAAAAGTTTAGGGTCAAGGAAACGTTGAATTAAGTTTTACAAAAAGTCTGAAGTTTAGAAGCCGAGAAGTTTTCTGAGCCTAATTGTTCAATTTTTATTTAATGAACGTAAATCGATCGTATTACTCGCTCAAAACTAGACTAATTCAGAAAAATTTCAATTCAGTTTTTCTCGACACTGAAACAATTTTTTGCATTTTTAAAATGTCTTTTGCATCACAATGAAAGATATTACAAATTATAAATCACTCGACCTAATTCGATGATTTTTTGTGATACCTCATTTTGCGTGGAAAACGAAGAAAAAACAAAACACGCGTCAATAAAAAATATTGTATCATATAGCATAAAAAATGAAACACAAAAATCATAATTTCCTTTTATCATTTTAATACTTGTCTAAAATTATGAATTTTTGATTTGATTATAATATCTTTTTTTGAAATTTAGGCAGCATTGACTTCCGTGAATTTCTGTGTGCGCTGAGTGTGACGTCACACGGAACTATGGAAGAGAAATTGAAGTGGGCGTTTGAGCTGTACGACCTGAACAAAGATGGCACCATCACCAAGGCTGAGATGGTCGAACTAATCACGGTGAGCTAATTGAATGATAGATACCACAGATAAAATTAGACAACTTTATATTCTGTATATTTTCACCAAACAGTTTTCCCGTTTTGACATTTTCATTAGCAATAGCTTTTTACATTTGATTGCTGTCATTCATGAACAGTTCGAGCGTATGCTCATATTTTGTAGATACAAACATACTCGGGTGATTTTATACCTTTTCATTTTTTTAAATAATAAAATCATTTCCGATGGAGATAGAATTATGGTTAAATGACTATATCTGTATCCAGGGGCGGATCTAGGACTTTCTCGAGGGGGGCGGATTTTCAAAAAATTTTAACGACCTTTTTTTTTAGGTCGACCAAATTGATTTTCTGAGCTCTTCTAAAGCACTAAAAAGACGCTGTTTGGCCAAACTTTCTGCGCCGCAATCCAATTTTTAAAAAACAGGTCAAAAAAGCCGTTTTTGGGCACTTTTTGGAAAATTTTGACAAAAAAAGCGTTTTTTTTTCGGCGCGCGCTCCCCCTCAAAGTTAGTATATATTGGCGCCGAAGGCGCATTTAGAAAAATTTTTAGGGTCTGTCACTAAAACTGGATTTCTTAAAAAGTACCAAAGGACTTTCACAATGTTTCAGCGTGTTTGCTTTTGAATATGCTGTTAATCGCTCAAATTAATGGTTTTTTTTAATCAATTTTTTGAATTAAAACTGTTAAATTTGTATAACTCTAGGCTATACTCTGTAATAATAAGAAAAATTCGTTTTCAAGAAGGGAACATTCTTGATTATTATTTACATAATTCAATCAATAATAAAAAAAATATTTCCCTACTTGGAAGACCACCAAAAGGCCATTTTCTGCGACGCAGGCAACTTTTTCAAAAAACAGGCCAAAAAGGCATTTTTATGCTTTTTTGGAAAATTTCAACCAAAAAGTTAGTATATATTGGCGCCAAAGGCACCTTTAGAAAAATTTTAAGGTCAGTCATCCAAAAATGAATATCTCAGAGCAGTACAAAGGGGGACCCATCTCTCTCTCTGTGGGGGGAGGGGGGGGGGGGTGCCCATCCCCTAAATCCGCTACTGGGAGGGGGTATTGTACGGTTGATCCATAAAAGTATTAAGCTTCGTTACTCTTTAAGGCGATCTATAAAATGGTCTCGGATGGTCAGGCTGATCCGATCACACCTGAAGACAGAGCCTCAGAGATCTTCAAGAAGATGGATAAGAACTCCGACTCCCGACTGACGTTCGATGAGTTCCTAGAAGGCGCCAAGCAGGATCCGTCTCTGCTGCGGTTCCTCGAATGCCAAAACTGAATCACTACCCAGATGATAAAAAAGTTTTCAAAAGATATTACACTGGCATAAAAAAAACGATATACTTCAAAATAGGTGGCAATTTTAAGAAACATTTTCAATATGCATGCATTAGTTGAAACAACTTTATTATAACTTCTGATGCCAATTATTTCGCTTTTACGTCGTACCTGTATTGTGTGGGCTTGTCTGAAAGTAGCAAGAAAAAAAACTATCAGAAAAAAAACATGGTTTGTTGAGATATTTGCCACCTTATAGATTATCGCCAGATAATTATTGTCATTGTTGTCCATTAATTCCTTTTACTGGTTCTTTTCAAGATATTGTTTCCGATTTTTATTTACAGGCTGGTTTTCACATAAGGGAAGTTTCGATGAACAAATAACTTAAATTTTTGGAAACATTTCAAGGCTTTTATTAGAAAATTTTCCAAGAAAGTGAATAAAGTACGATCACTAACAAGCAAAGTTATGATTTTGGATCTGATTATTAAATTTATGCATTATAATCTCTCTTATCAAATGGTAGGAATTTTTAACATATTTAAAAGAAGAGTCTTAAAAAGAACCGAGCTTCATTTTTGCATCTTTACCCATATATAATTAATTCACTTCGTAATGTACTTGAAAAAAAAACAAGCTAATTTATTTGTGTTTAGTCCAACAAAAAATCAAAGAGTATGCCAAATTAAAACGAAAAATCTAAACAATACAACAGGAATCACCAGATGCTAAAAGGTATTCAAAAGTAGTTTTCTTAGAAAAAAACCTGCGATTCAAAAGTTTTCATAAAGGTTCCACAGAGATTTAATGGTAGAAAAACTGAAACACATATAAACTAAACCAATCAAAATATTTTTAGCAGCTGTCTGAAATCTCTGTTTTTGCGCATTTTTATTACCCAAACTTGATTGCTGACATAAAAATTTTTGACGCCATATTTTGTTTTAGCTTGTCTCGACAGGACATTTCAATAAAAAACAATAAAAATATTTTTACCAAGTGTCTGAAATCTCTGTTTTTGAGCTTTTTTCATCCTCAATTTTGATTGAATAGTTTATTTAGGAGAGTAATATTAAACGGACAGTTAAACAATAAACCGCATGTACTAATCAAACCCACCAAGGATCATGCAAAAAGCTATGCAGCTTATCGAGGCATGACCCTGAAAAAAGCTATGACAGAAGTTGCGAGACAACATCCGACTTGATGATTCAAAAAAATAAATCTAGAAGATCTCCATTATCTTTAAGAAACAAAGAAAACAATTTTTTGAAATACCCATTTAGTTGATGCTCAGTTAATTGGTTTAGGTTATCTGGTATCAGCTCGTTTGATTTCAAAAAATTATAACTTTTGTTGTTATTTGTAACAGTTTGTTATTGTTGCACCTATTACATATTTTATTTAATTCTTTCTGGATTTTCGTTTTGGATGCAAATTTTTGAGCATCAACTACCGTTGTATCATCTGCAACTAAGGTTAACTTAAGGTTGCTGGCCAACGGCGTAACCTTTATCTATAAAAGGAACAGAAATGGCCCCAAAACTGAACCTTGAGGAACGCCTTTTGTACATTTTCGCATATTCGAGACCGATTGACTCGAATAAACATATTGATTTCTCCCTGTAAGATAGTTTGTCATTAACCATTTTACTTTTTATTGTTCAAGTTTTTAATTTCCTTTAGAATCTCATGTCGATTGGTATCATAAAAAACGAACGTGTTTCTATTAACCGGACAATTTGATCTACACACGTTTTGTTTGAAGTTTTCTGTAAGTTTTTCTCCAATAGTAGCAAAGTGTTCACTGAAAACATTAACATCAAATGAAGCAGTATTCACATTTTTTTTACCACAAAAATGTTTTAAGGCATCAAAAATTCCGGACGAGTTCTTCTTCCTCGTTATCATGTTATCATAGTACCGGCGTTTACTCACACTTATAGCCTTAACTACATTGTTCCTACATGAGGTGAAATTATTTCTGTTTTCAATTGATGATGTTTGAACCCATTTTTTGTGTAACTTATTTTGGTTATTCATTATTCTCTTAATTTTCAGATTAATCCATGGGTGGTTGTTTTTATTCTTTTTTCGGATTTTTTTGAGCAACACTTTCAAAATTCATCAAGCAAGGTTTGGGTCATTTCAATGATGTAAAGGTCAGGATCATCATCATCAGTTTTGCTCAATCGATGTTTTAGCGAAAATAAAAGTTTTAAACAATAATCATCATTCAGTAGTAAATCATAGTTGAAATCCGATTGATAAGAATCCACGTTTTGCTTTTTTAAAATAATTTTTAGGTCACACAAAAGTCCATAATGGTCACTAATAACATAATTTATTGTTGTTACCTGAGTTTCCTCCGCCGCAATTATATGGTCAATGCATGTACTTGATATTCTAGTTACACTATTTAGCTCGATATTTTGAACTTCTAAATCAAATGAAAGCAGAAGATTTTTGTAGTCAATAAAGTTGAGCTGGCTACCTATAATATCGACATTTAAATCACCCATTAGCAAAATTTCACCGTTTAATGCTTTCATTTGAAGCAATAAATCTTCAAAAAAAATGAAAAAAATTCCAGTGTGAGATTTGGTGGATGATGTATTATGCAAACATTTAGTGGAGGGTGATCGACAAAACACATTTTGATAACGATGTGCTCCAAACTGACTGGTAATTTAAAATAACTATAGTTAAGGCCAGTTTTAATGAAAGCTGCAGCGCCCCCACCTCTAGCGTTTACGCGGTTTGCACAGACAATATTGTCATAACCTTCTAAGTTATATATGCCAATAGGATCATTAACTAAGAGCCATGTTTCAGTCAGCCCGATTAATGCAAGCCTGTTATCAAAGGATTCAATTAAAACTGAAAATTGGTCATGATGGGCTCTTATGGATTGAATATTTAGGAAAAATGCAGTTTGCGTTGTTGTCAGGTCAGTCATATCTCGCAAAAGTTTTTTTCTAAAAAGAGGTTTACGGCAAAAAACTGTAAATAGAGTTGAAACGCTTTTGCCACTAATCAAAATAATTTTCATTAGTATTATTTCCGTTGTTGACGAATTTGAAGTGATTCCACAAATTGCACCAATTTAACGGGATCCGATAGCCTACTGCACAATTCATCAATCAGATGATTTCTTTCCACATTATTCGGGGTTATTTCTCTGTCACGTTTCCTCAATGAAACAATAGGAGGGCGAGAAAAGTTGTTTTGATTATTTTGTACTACTCGAGGATTTTGATTTCTAGCATTAATTGCCTGTCTTGCCATCATTGGATTCTTGTTTTAGAAAATTTGATCAGCATCCTTAATATCAACTAAGTTGTGCCTTTGAAATCCACCATCTGCTTTCGAAGCGAAAACTTGAGGAGCACAATTATATGTAACTGTGTACATTCCCAAACCCCGAGAATAATCAAGAAGCTCTGAATCGCGCTGAGTAAGTCTCTCTGTTATATACCCTGGTTGCTTATTTACAGGGTGCAAAAAATCTTTCAATAACTTTTTTCTGCCATAAATTCTGTTTTTTTTTTTAATATCAAAGTGGACAAATTTCACTATAACCACATATGTTTGGTTTTGACTCACAGGGCCGAGGGGATGTCATGACTTCAGGTCTTAGCTGTTCACTTCCACGCCACGCCCATAATTTCTTTACAAAAAGCCAGGGCATCTTGGGTAAAGTTTCCGGAACGTAAAGGTAAATTTTGCAAAATAACACAATCTTTTGAACTATATCTTTCCATTTCATTAACTTTATTCTCTAGAAAATGCATCCAATTTTACAATTCAACAATGATATCATCCTTAGTATTTACATTCTCAATTAGCCATTGTAATAGGCCTTTCAATTTAGGATCAATATTTACTGTATCTTTTATTTCATCGAATAAGGTATTGAGATTCGCCATTTGATTGCAGACAGGAAGGATTTTAACGTCTTTTCTTTTGTTTTGAGACAGCTGCAGTGAGGTTCCATGAACTATAATCGATTATTATTAATTTTCATGATGAAAAACATTGCCATAATAATCAATTATAATTACATTTTGGGACTACGCAATCGATTATAATCAATCGTAATGCATGATTAAGTTAAATACAATACATTTGGAATCCATTTAGCGTTTCTGCATTACTTACAGCCTACTCGAGTTCTAAACTTACTCACAGTTAATCAGACGTTGCAAAATCATATCGCTCACACATTAAATCCAGGTCTTTTCAATTTTGAACACCCATTCCCGCACGCCTATCCCCACCCCACATATGCCATCCCACCAAACCTAAGCGCTCTCCCACCTACCCATCCCCATCTGTGCACCCAACCTTACCCACCCCCAACTACGCCAACACAACTGCTCTCCCCCCACTTACTCCCACACAAACACCTTCTCTCCCTCACACACCTACTTGACACCCCCTTAAGTTTTTTGATTTTTTTGGGAGGGGGTGTGTTTCGTAAAGGTTCGTAGGGTGGAATCAATGGTTGTTAAAGGTGTGTGTGTGTGTGTGTGTGTGTGTGTGTTTTAGGGGGGGGGGAGGGTAAGAGGCACGCATTTACGGCAATTCTTACGAATTTTACAGGATATATAGTAATGGGTAAGTGGTGGGGGAAGGTGAGGGTAAGTGAAGGAAGTAAGAATGTTAGTGTGAGAAAGTAATGTTAATTATTTAGGGATTTAGGGGGATGGGGACACAAGTAGAAAAAAGACGGCTCTTTTTCCTTTCCCCCCCTCCCCCCCCCCCACACCCCCCCCCCCCCCCCACCTCACATACATCATTTTTATATTTTTATGTTGTAACGAGGGGTTTTACAAGGTTTAGTAAGAAGACCAAAAATGTTTGTCAAGGCCTAATTAGTCCGCATACCAATTTTTGTAACAATCCAATGATGTGAACAAAATTTTACTATTAAAATTTCGCTGGTGGGGGGGGGGGGGAAGGAAAAAGAGCCAAAAAGACAAGTACAAAACAATACATATTTTTTGCTGTAGCCAAAAGTAAAACACAATTTAGCGATTGTGACATTCAAGTTTTGAATATATACTATCAAGGATATCAAAAATCCAGGCGTTTACTCATAAAAGTTGCCTATAATCCACTAC